TAAACTAATGTATCTCTCAATCCCCCCCAGAGACACTTCCTGGTGATTAACTCTGAAGCCTGCAACTGGCTAACATACTAAGAATAAGAATCTACAGAATGATTAACCCTGATATGGACACCTGTATCAATATCTGCCTCAAAAGTCTCGGGCATATTGCTGAAGAGTGGGCAAAAGATTGTAAGAGCCAGAATTGTGGATGACTACTAGGAAACAGTTTTCCAGACAGCTGGAAAGTTACTTATGTGAACTCAAAGCAATTATGACAACATGCACAATCATGACATAAGCTCAAACAAGATAAAATCCCAGCATAGACATTAGTAAGTAACCCCAACCCTATGTGAGGAACTTCTGGAAACTGATGACTGCTAGGAAGGGATAATCAGTCTCTTTTAAGGGTGTGACTCTTGTTAGGTTATCCAGGATGTATACACACAGAGAGACATTTAGGGACATAAATTTGTCTCTATGGGCCATCATATGTGTATGTATATGAATATTAATATTATTCATATTATTATTTGTATTGTTATTAATTATACATAATACAGTAAATGGAATTGGGCAGGGAATAGTAATGGGGTTACAGGTAGAAGAGGGGATCTAAATATCAAAATATATTGTGTGAAATTTGCAAAAATTCAGTAGAAAAGGAAAAAGAATGCTAGATCTAAAAATGTGTTCTCAAAGGAAGAAATAATAGTGACTAATAAACATATAAAAGTTTTCAACATCCATTGCAGTTATAGAAATTCAAATTAAAACTACTATAAGATTTCAACATACCCCAGGTAGAATGACTAATATTAAGAAAACAACTAACTGCAAATGCTTGTATGTTGTTGGGAAAGAGGACCCCTCATTCACTGCTAGTGAGATTGCAAACTGCTGCAGCCACTATGGAAATCAATGTGAGAATTCACAAAACACTAAAAATATACCTACCATATAACCCATCTATAACACTCCTTGTCATAAACCCAAAGAACTCAATGTCTTACTAGAGATACTTGCTCAGTCATGGTCATTGCCACTCTTTTCACAGTAGCTATAAATGAAAACAGCCTCCTCAGCTGGTAAATGGAAATTGAAAATGTGGTACATATACAAAATTAAGTTCTATTCAGCTATAAAGAAAAATGAAATTTGTAGAAAACTGGATGGAATCGAAAAGCTATAAAGAGTGAGATATCCAGACCCTGGAGCTAATGTGTTTGTAACCTGAAGTAATAACAAAAATTAGAGAATTAGAAAAGGACCATATTGGGAGTGGGGGAGAAGGAGTTTGAGGGGCTAGAGAGATGGCTCAGCATATGTAAAAAAAAAAAAAAAAGGAGCTTGAGAGAGGGAGATAGTAGGACATAGGTACTAACAAAGGAGAAAAAGGAAAAAGTGGTGGGGGTCTTTAACTGGGGTAAGGTAAGGCAGAGTAATGTAGGGGGAGAGAGAGGAAAAATAAATAACACTAAAAAAGTTTGAAAAAGTCATAGGGAAATGTATTTTTACAAAAATACATAAAATATAAATATACATTTACATTATATGAATGTATGTGCAGGTGTATAATGGAAGGTTGTCTAAAAGAAATCTCAGTATCAGGCAAGGGATTCCTCCCATCAACTTGTTGAACAGGACAAAGAGACATCCTAAACAATATAGGTTTTGTCATAACCCTTGGTTGCCTTCCAGAACTTGACTGTAAGACCATATTTTAAAGGCATCACATACTTTGGACAAAGGACCTGGAGATTTTGGGTTGGAACTGACCTGAAGGCCTCCTCCCTAGACACTAACTTACATAGTTTTGTAAGATACTATGGAAGCTTCAAAAGGTGAAAAGTAATCAATAGTCATACACAGTAGTAAAGCATATGTACCACAATGGTATCTAACCTAGCAAAATATCTTCTTTCATGCAATATATGCACTTTTCTTGGAAGTAACTAATACTTATCTACTTGGAATTAAAGCCCACTCAATAGGAGGGAATCCATGTCTACTATTGTAAAAATAAACAATTATCATGGTTGGAGATGTCATAGACGCTAAATGAGAACTTTCTATCACCACTTTTCTAAGGCAATTTAATTTCATATTGTACTTTCAATGCTTACCCTTATATTCACAAATAAATGCAGCTCTCATCACTCATTGAAGAAGCTTCTTTTACAAAAGATGGTAACTATTACAAAGTTCTACACCTGGCCCAAATACAGAGAATAAGTGACCATGTGGTACCTAGCCCCAGCTGATACATCTACAATGCAACACCTACACCTTAAGCTCTAGGAACACTGAAGAAGAGGAATTGGAAAGATTGCAAAAGCCAGAGGACCAGGATACCTGCTGCTAGTTATTGTATTCTAGACATGACAGAATATGCGCATCCATGAAATCCTACAACATATTTGTCTAAACAAGTCCTGCAGTCCTGCATAATGACATCAGTTGACATGCCATCAATCAAAGGCTGCTGAAGGAAGGAGAATCAAGCTAGGTTATATATGTGTACATATATCTATAGATATATAGATATAAAACAATAAAGAGGTCATGAAATTGAGAGGCACTGGGAGGATATGTTGGAGGAGTTTCAGGGGGGTGGAAATGATGTCAATACAACACTAATGTATGAAATTCTCAAAAAATTAAAGACAGAAAAAAAAAGTAACAACTTAAACCTAAAAATTAGTTATGACACTATTAGGACAGTGTACCTTAGCAATAAAGATAACCTCTGCCAAATCTATTAGATAGCAATGCCATTATTATTATTTCATTCAGTAATTTCATTGTAATTTTCTCCTATTACATGGTTTTTTTTCCATTAACAGATTTGTGTGGGTCTAGTTTATACAAAATAATGTCTACACATTTAAATTTGATGTTTTAGTATACATATACATACACACCTCTGAAATTATCACTACATTGAAGAAAATCTTCATATTCATCACCCCAAGTTTCTTCCTAACCTTTTCTCAATCTGTCAATTCTATGCCTCCATAATACTGCCTCAGTCCCAAATAACAGTGGTTTTTCTCTTTATCAGTGTATAGATACAGTAAAGAGATAGTTACAATATTCAATTTCCAATATTTTCTATAAATAGAATAATATGCACTACATTTTGGAGAAACAGGAGACATCTACCTTTCTATGGTCATCAGAATTATTATGAGATTAAAATGTTGCATCTATGAGGAATTTGTTTATATTATCATTTAGTAGTATTCTATTTTGAGTCTATATCACAACTTATCTATTCATCTAAGGATTACCATTTGGGTTGATTCCTATGTTTGACTACTACAAATCATTTGATATGAAAATTCGTGTCTAATTATTTGTGTTAGCATAGTCTTCCATCTTTCCTAAGTAAATAACAATGAGTGGAATGAGTGGATGGTGTAAGAGGTGTAGATACCCAATACAGTAGGGCATTTCACATTCCCATTAGAAGAGAAAGGATTGTTCCCTCTGTATCCTTGTCAACAGTTGGCATGAGTTTTCAGTTCTCAACATTGGTACAGTAGCATCTTGCTGCTGTTTTAGCTAGCATTTCCCTGATAATAAATTCCTTCCTTTGGGAAATATTCTGAAACCTCTGACTGCTTTTAGAATATAGGAACTTTTTAAAACCACTGAATACTTAAATATAATGGCCAAGTAGCTCTTTCAGCACACCAGTGCACACTTTTAATAATATTCAGATGAGTCAAAAGAAAAATATAATATCAGTGAATTCTAATCACACTCTATTCACAAGAACAGTGTGTATTGTGCGATAACATACTTGCACAGAGTCCAGTGCCGCAAAAGTGTCTGATCCTCAATGATCCCACTGTCCCTCTTTTCCTAATGGGAGTGTTGCAATTACTCTGGATTTTCTTTTCTTCTTGAAGATGAAATATGACTGCATCACCATAACATTTTACTGATTAAATAAATTTACAAGGATATGGGAAAGATGAAAAGTCAATATAAGGAAGTAATGTAAAACAGGTATAGAAAATGTGAAATAAGATAATCAAAAAATAAAAAATGTAGAAAAAACTAATGGGAACAAAACAGTGGAGTAAAAACACTAAACTGCATAAAGGTAAATAAAAATTAGAAAGAAAAACGATATGAGAACTAGCTCTTTAAAAACAATCTAGCAAAAAGAGCTATGGATCTAGTGCCCTAGTATAGCACTGACCTGCCATGAATAATTCCATGGACTCAATCTTCAAAATTGTAAAATGAAAACAGAGTTGTTTGTATGAGAACTATATATGGTGTAGCAGTATACTTCTGAAGCCACAGAACTCAGGAAACTGAAGCAGGAGGATCATGAGTCTGACACCAACCTGGGTTAGCAAGGCCAGGTCTCAAGAAAACCTAGGTGGGGCTAGAGAATTGGCTCAGCAGTTAAGGGCACTGACTGCTCTTGCAGAGGACCCAGGTTTGATTCCCAGCACCCACATGGTGACTGACAGATATCTGTAACTCCAGTTCCAGGATGTACTTACATACATGGAGGCACTACACCCATCCACATAAAATAATATAATAAATTATATATATATATATATATATATGAAAAGCTAGAAGAATCTAGCAAAATCAATTGATGCAAACCCTGCTCTTCCCCACTCGCAAGAATAAAATAGAGAGCATTATTTATCTCTCCTCTCTTGCTCCCTGTCTAACTCTAACCCTCATGGCATGTGCCAAAAGCATCCTACAACTTTCTGTGTATGTATCGTCAGTTCCACTGCCTAAGGTCCCTGAGCATTGTGCTCTACTTCATTATACGTATGTCTGACCCAGATGAATGTTAAAGAATTAGACAAAAATGAAATCAGAGATCTAAAATATGGAAGACTTAGTGCTCTTAATGTCCCCAGTGCTCCTTAATCTGTGTGGATGATCTATCAGAGAAACTTGAAAATTCAGAAAGCAATAAGATAAAACTTTTTACAGAGACATTGGCAGAGAAGTCTGAGTTGAAATGGTTTGGGTAAAAGCAGCAGTTTATTTATGTCTTACAAACATGATCTTACAAACATACAGTGCTGGCACAAAAGAACAGACACCATCTCTTACACCATGCTTTCCTCCAGATCACTTCTATTGAGCTACAACATCAGAATGACCACTTACTGAGTCACACAGTTCTTCATACACGGAAACCTCCCCATTTGGGTGGCTAGACTGGCTAATCAGACAGACAATTAATTTACATGGTTAATACAGCACAGGATTTGTAGCAGAGTTCAATATTCACAATGATTTGTAATACATTATAAAACAGTACAATTTTCTGAAATAATAAGGTCATGTATCTCCCTGCCTGTTTAAATTCTTTTCTTGATTTTCTCCTTTCTTTCTTTTTTCTTAAAATCAGTTACAATTACTTTCAATCAACTTCCCACAGTCAAAACACTATAAATAGTAAATACTAAAAACTATTTACAAACAATTCATTGTGATTTTAAGCATATCTGATGTTGGATTTGTTGTTCTATTTTTAAAAACCACTCCTTTTCAATCAATAAGCATCTATTGTTGGTACAGTCATCAACTTCTGTTGCCCTGTAGGGTACTTGGAATTGATGCCTCATGACTTTGGAACTCCAAAATATATTACAGTCCATAGCCGATGACACTAAATGTACATACACACAAAGGCCATTTGGCCTCCACAACTCTATTTCTACTGAAGTTCATTATATGTCATTTTCAGAAACTGATGAATAGACAGAGATGTGAAATGACCTTGGTGTGCAATGACCATGAGCGTGGAATATTTAGTTTGACTTTCAAAGTCATCTTAAAGCATAAAAGAGGTTGATTTCAGTCTTTATACAGACAGAATGTAATGCATTTTCTTTACAGAATGGAATAGCTTAGGCATAGTCATAAAAATTATGTATAAGTTGTTTGGAAAATGCGTTTTCATAGAATTTACAAACACTGTGATATCAAACACATTCTCAAAAACTGCTAAAATACTGACACAAAACCTGACTCAAAAGGTAAAATCTTCAGTAGACTTTTTATTTCTAACTTGCATATTTAATAGTTCAGAGGAACCCAAGTCTCACTCATACTTTTCTAAAAACTTAAATATAGTGACATTGCCCAGGAGTTGTTTCCCAAAAATCCAACAGCTCTGCTCTCCTCACAAAGGATTTGTGTGACTTTCAGAACCCAGTCACTGACAGTGGTGCCTGACAGGAGTCTCTAAGCTATTTTAAAAACAAGAGCTCAAGACAAATTTGCCTGTAAAGGTAATGAAAGACACACTTTTTGTGCTAATTTGGCAGCCTAAGTGTATTGTCAGAACAAGTATAAATTGCAATAGTCTTGTCCTCTTTATCTTAGTCTTGGTCCTTAGGTTGTTTAAACCTGGGAATGTATAGAATTTCAGTCTTTTTCTTCTTTCGTCTCTCTTTTCTAATAGCTTAGTTCTTTCTGAGAGAGAATAAGTTAAGACTTAGGTAGCCAAACTCAGTCTGAGGAAAAAAAGACAGTCATGAAAGTACACTTGTGTATTGTGTATATTTTTCTAAGAAAACTGTGTCCTAATTGAATTTCTATTTGAAGTTTGTTTTATTTTTTTACCAATAGCAAATCTGATAACTTCACAAAGGTAAATAGGAGTTTCTCTGGTCACATTGAAGATTATGATGGGCAATGAATAATTCAAGGCCATGGCTTTTATGTGAGGTTTATTTTAGATTTTACTCACATGTGGTCTTAGGGGACAAAAAAACGATTTTAGCCACAGTGTTCTTCAATACAGCCCTTTGATAAACTGATTTTTCAACTTATTTGCTGTATTCATGAAGTTAAACTAAGTTACACCTTTTATGATAAAATTGTATCAAATAATTACAAACCAAAGAGAAATGACAGGATACTTTTATATATAAGACAACTATTTGCACATGAAAGATTTAAGTAAATAAAACTTTCTAAAATATCTTTGGATTTAAAGAAAACCACATCTCCTCAACTGGAAGAAACATGGATTAATTTTCATAAAAAAAGATCTACTTTCCATTCCTAACTATTAACGAACACCTGGCTATCCATTGACACAGCATAATGACATCGTCATCTACAAAGCATGTCTGTGTCTTGAGATTAAGTTAGAGTGCTCTTGAACGGCTTGGTTGTCCCCATTTACACCATAAAGGGGAAACTGAATTTCTTATGAAAATTTGTCCAACACCTCTAATAAAGGAGGAAATTATAATGACACATATTTACAACTATTTTCTGCTCTATAAATTCAATCCATTTCAAATAATTTAAATAAATAAATAAATAATATATAGTAGCCTGTTGTGTCACAAGTTTACAATCACATATGAAAAGAAAATTGCTCCTTGCCTTGTAAAAATGTTTACGTTCTAGCTCATGGCTAGAGAGTTAACCATCACAGAGTACATGCCACTTGGCAATTTGTCTCCGGGGAAAGTCACAGATCTCTTTCCAGTGCTCTCCACCACTTCCTTCTGCTGTTGCACCCAGGACCAATCGCCCAATCACTTCATTTTGAGAACCCCTTTCAGAATCCAAAACCAGAAATTCAACACTTATTTCTTCAAGACCCTCACAAGGAATATCAAAGACAAACAGTTCATTGAACACTGCATTGGGAGTGCATTTTTTAACATGTGTCTTCTTTTTGGAGATTCTCTTCTTGGCATGGTACAGGTTCACCTTGACATAGGGATCTGAAATGACATACAAGCATTATTATGACAACACTCAGCTTCAGAGCTGACCCAAGAGATAGTGTTCTTGGTGATTATAGTATGTCACTAAAATGGAAAAATCTATGTTACAGTGAAAATTAGTCTAAACAAATGGGAAGTACGGATATGTTTCACTTCTCTCTTGTTTCTTTTATATCTGACAGGTTTAACATCCAGAATATGCAAAGAACTCAGAAAACAAAGAATCAAGAAAACAAATGACCCAATTAAAAGACAGGCTGAACAGAGTGCTCTCAAAAGAAGAAATAAAGATAGCTATGAAACATCTTTAAAAGTGTTCAACATTGTTAGTAATTAGGGAAATGCTAATTAAAACCACTTGAAGATTTCATCTCACCCCAGACAGACTGGCTAAGATCAAGAGAACAAATGATACCAAACACTGGAGAGGATGTGGGGAAAGAGGAATGCTCATTCACTGCTAGTGGGATTGCAAACTCGTGAAAACCCTGTGGAAAGCAGTGTGAAGAACTCTTAAAAAAACTAAATGCTGAATTTTTAACTATGTGTGTGTTAAAACTATGTTTGTCTGTGTGTGAATATTTGCATGTGTGTATGGGTGGCCAGGGATAGGCATCTAATCCCTGAAACTGGAAATACAGGTGGCTGTGAGCTGCCTGACAGGGTTCTGGAAGTTGAACTTTGGTCCTCTGCAAGAGCAGTAATTGTTCTTAACCTGTTGAGCCATCTCTCCCTTGTTCTTTTTCTTATTGTAGAAACTGAAAATAAAGAAGAATGCAGCAAAAGCTATTTCTCAATCAGGTGCTAGTGAAGGAATTAAAATGACAGAAAGACCAGGACTTAGAAGGGGAAAGAAAATAAAATTCTATATGAACGCATACTGACTACTAATAACTAATTTCATAAAGTGAGATGAAGAAAAAAATTACCCAACTCAGATCTGACATCACTGATTTATGTGCTCTTGGGTGAGTCTGTCACTGGGTGGTGATGCTTTTGCTGCTGAACAGGATTTGAAGCCTACCCTGTTCATGTCCTGCACTTCAGCTTTTCAGCAGTTGTTTAGACATTTGTAGGGTTTTCTCTCAGTGTCCCAAATTGATCTATTCTGTGCCATTCTTAATGTGTGCATTTAGGATCATGTGACCTTATCATTTATTTAATTATACTATTTTTTGTCTTTTCTGATTGCAAAATAACTGTTAATTTTAGCTTCATGATCTAGTTTTAAGAATTTGTCAAAGGTGTTAGTAATCACAATAAAACTAGATGATTGAAATATATT